TCGCCCCCCGGTTTCGAATACGCGTAAGTAACCGGCGTGAAAGTGAAAAATTGCGCAGTCTTCACGATTAATCTGTCGGTGTTTCGGTGTACTTAGAGGGAAATCCTCGGCGCCGAATAAAAGTGAGACCTTTTTTGAAGATTGAAATCGACCGAGTTCGATGTGCGGGGAGATTTCTCGCGATTAAGAGATTGAGCGTCCGGTTTCATCAGATATATTTTTTTTTTTTTAAGCACCAGGAGTCCCTCCCTATTTTGATAATAAATCCGTAGACAAAAGGAAAACTTCTAAATTGAGATTAAATATTTTACACGCCTTTTAAATTTAATTTTTTTTTCAATTCAGCTGATTCAATTTCGAAATGAGTGCTTTTAAGTCAAAACTTTTCTTTATGTTCAGGAAGCAACTGGCACTAACGTACCAAGCAAAAATATAAACTTACCTGAGAAGTTTTTTGAAAGTGGCAATTGATAAAGAACTGACAATTCTAACTCAGTTGTAAAATATGACTAGAATACTACATATTTTGTATTTTTGTGTACCATTGAAAATTATCCTTGCCTCTATTTATCTCCATCACATATAATTTCAGTGTATCCGTATTTATGCTAAAAGGAACCATGTGTATACTGGGGGGCTACGTCCCCTGGCCGCTACGCGGACGAAGCAGACTCTGCTTTGAAATTTTGCAAGAATTTTCTCTCCAGTCTATAAGAAATTCACAATGAGTTCAAAATTGGTAAGCTGTCTAGTTATCTGTTGAAAAAATATAACATTAGAGGAAATTGCGCCACGTGAAATGTAGTTGGGATGATTCTGGCTTAATTTGTCCTGTACAGATTCCATTTCTATCGTGCGTCAATAGGAGTAATGTATCTTTGTATCAAGCTGAGGTAGAGAGGAGAGTGGACAGGTCGACCGCTATCGATTCGTGTGTTTGCGCTCACGACGCCTGCCACGTAGGCCGCCCGCGAGACAGAGGCCGGAACCTCATGCCTCTAAGTAGCACCTCGTGCGACACTGCCCGTCTTTAATTATTAACGTCGGTGCTCTTCCCGGTGTTGTCTTCTCCACGAATAATCATCCCACTAAGAACTAGTCGTATAAATTACTTACTTACTCATATTGCAATAATTTACATCGAAACGATAAAGGTTTCATTGGTAAAGACATTCTTAAGCACCAGCGTGGCTTAAAGCACCTTCAGTTTCCCATGATACTCTCCGCTTTGCTGCGGAGTTAGTATAGTTGCCCTCTCGAATCAAACCCAACTAGATCACAGATCTCACCACACGCGCATGCGACAACTGCTGTTGCGAAATGTTCACCTGTGCCGTGGTATCGTTTTTGAAGCAGGCAGCTTAAAAAAAAACGCCTAGTTCCTACACAATTTGCGAATTTATGAGTGTATTTCAGGCTTTCTAGATGCTCTCGTCGTGATTTTTGAGCCGTTTCTTATTGGTAGTAACTCCTCTTTCTGCCCTAGCTGAAGTTTGCAATAGGTCCATCGCTTGCGGCAGATGAAGAGCTGCACTGACAAAAAGTTACGGGATTTATAGACATACCGTCCGTTCCAGGCTCAGAGGCCGAAAGTTCCGGGTGCTAGAGCCGTAGCTTCGACTGCTCCGGATGCTGCGCTCGGAAAGTTCGGCCTCTAAGCCTCGTACGCTGATGGTATGTCTGTCTAACTTAAGTACGGCTTCCACGGCTGGAGTTTTTTTTTTTCAGTGTGAGGGTGCATAAGATTTCCTCGCCTCGTAGCGATAGGAGCCCGGCAACTCGCAAATTCCACATGAAGAGGTGAAGGTTGAAAGCCTTTAGAAGCCAGGGACAAGCGATCCATCATGAGCTCCCGATCCGTAGCAGACTCGCGAGCCAGCGGTCACGGTCGGCGATGAAGAAGGCCGTGGTCGTGCGATATGTCGACGGGCGCGAGCCAAGCGATGATTGGCGAGGAGCGAGCATGAGCGATCGCGATCGGCATCAGATCGGGGGCGCGACGGGGCGCGGCGGGGCGCGGCGAGGGAGGGCCGACCGCGGCTCGAATCGGACATCAACATCAATCCGTGGCTCGAGACGCGCGTCAAATCAATTACCGTTTGTTGATATTCGAATAACTTCACTGTTTCCCCGGATGCCGTTATCATCCTGCCCCACTGTTGTCCCGTCGCCTAAACGAGTCGCTCCATTTTTATTTTACCGGGAGGCTACGCCATAATTATTTTACAAGATGGCCCCCCGCAGGCTGATCGTTAAAGTTGTAAGAGACAGCGATAGACAAAGAAGACATAGGGAGTATGGAGTAATCCTAGTACTTCACTGGAAAAAAAACACATTGGATCTAGAGTCCAGACTCTTAAAAACGACGACAAGGAAAAGTACTCTTGATTCAATCAGAATCCAGCTTAAATCAAGAACCAAGCCTCTTAATTTAAGCGGATTTCCTTTTGATTCAAGCAAAAATCCGATCGAATCAACAGTATTTTTTCTTGTTAATGTTTTCAAACATGTGTCGGGTAAATGATGGACTAACTGTACACTGAAAAAAAATTCTCGGTGTTTTTACCAAGGTCCGTTCGTACCTTTACCATCTCACTTTTTTACCAATTATTGGTAATTTTACCAAGATAGACTGGTAAGCTTACCTAAAAACCGGTATTTTTACTGTTTTTTCAGGTAAGAATACCACATTTATTGGTAATCAATTCCCGGTAACTTTGCCATTTTATCTCGGTAATTCTACCACAGTCCATAAAAAATATTGGTGTTTTTACCGGGGATCAGTAAAATTACCGAGAAAGTCAATCATTTTACCGAGATTTCTCGGTAAAATTACCAATTCCATAAATGGTAATTTTACCAAGAAAAACTGGGATCAAATAGAACCCTGAATTCTTGGTGATTTTACCCTTTTCTTAGTAATTACACCGAGATTTTTTTTTCAGTGTAGAGTTTCTCGTTGGTGGCCTACTCGTTAACTAGTCCATCACCTACCTCCTATGTCCATTGCAACCACCCGCCTCCACCAATAGGACCCCTCCATATCCTTTGGAAAAACTCGGATTCCTGCGTAACACTTAAGTTTTCGGTCCAAGCAATTGAAATTGTTGGTCCTATGGTACCGTACTTCTTGTTGAATGAAAATGGAACCTGCAGTACGCTCTAGTTTCCACCTTCTCTCTATGAAGCTCCTTAAGTTCCTCCCAATAATTTTACGATAAACACTGCCCTGCAGATGATACTTGCTGTAAGGGCAGGAATCTAATTGCAAACTTCCTGGGGAATTTGTAACTCTTATCGTCTTTTTTGAGCAACTCTGGTATAGGTATAACCTCACACGCTTGCTCTCACACACACTACATTCGATGATTTCATTCAGAACTTAATCACTGGCGCAACTTCTGCGCCATAACCAGGTATTCTGACTCGGAGGTTGATTTAGAGAAATCAAACCACAAACTTCGATCAAGAAAGAATCAGGGAGAGCAAAAACTCTCACAGTAGAAGTAAATCGTCCTCAGACAACGATGGCAACGCGGTAATACGGTATACAAATTTGCCCGCGATCTAAATAGTAAATTATTGGTTTTGGACCGGTGTCTGGTGTATCTGGTTCAATATTCAACGTTCCCCGCCCAGACCCGTGTCTGATGATTGGTGATTGGTTTTGCTCAGCGAATAAGCAGCCATGAAAATTGCTCCCCGATTATTTTATTCCCCGCAGTCAGCAGACGCTCCGATCGAAATTTAGGGCGTGCATGTGTGGTGTGCTCTGTGCGAAGAGTGTACCAGTATCGACAGACGCTCTAATTTTGGTAAAGCCCGGAAGATACATTCTCACAAACTTATGTGTATTTGCCATTAATCCGAGACATCATCGTTGGGCGTGGAAGACTTTTGAAAGTATATATGAAAAGATTCATCGATCGAAATTTCTCTCAAGGGCGGTCCGGAGGTACTGACAAAGTGCGGTAATTGCGCAAAAAGACCAGGAATTGTTGCAATTTTTTTGTCATTTTTGTCGCAATTTGAGCGAGAAATTAAAACAATTTTTCGAATTTCGTCAATTGAAGGTACTGAAAAAGTACTGTATTTTTCTGTGAAGGAGGTACTGAATTTCTTGGGAATGTACTGAAAAAGTACTTTAAAAGTACTGATTTTTGGCCAGCCTGTTTCAGTAGACACCCTGGTGCATGCAAAACCACTGATTTTGTTATAGTCCGTACCCAAACTTGGATCGGAATTATGTCGATCCATATGTCGGGCAAAAGCGGCTTCAGAAATTTGGCAACACCGGATTTCCTCTATTTAAACCTATGGAAATGTATCGATTCTTGGAGGGGCCAGGTGCTCCGGCAAGAATCGATTGTTTAGCACAAGTTTGAATGGAGGAATTCGGCGTTGCCGAATTGCTGGGTCTGCCTCTGATGTCGGGTGGTCTTACCTCTTTAATTTTAGCGTCTTCGTTCGTGCTTGAAATTTACGACAAAGAGTACTTTACCAAAATGTTCAATTCGGCAACGCTACTTTCGTATCGAACTTCACTGTGCGGAAGAATTTAAAACGGAGCCGAAAGTTAGGAGATAGCGTCACGCATCATACCGATACGATAACTTTCCACGGTGTAATTAAGGTAAATATTTAATATTGAAATTTCATCCACTTTTATTCTCGACATCGGGCGCCCTAGTAACAACTTTTGACGCGCGCATGCCACGTGGCAGCAATTTCCCGGGTCTCGAATATGCATGTCACAGGAATGCGCATCCATCCAGTGCGTGGGAGGCACTAGGAGACAGCTAATAATTATTATAATTACATTTTTCAGATGTCGTTTGCTTCCTTTTCGCCGTGTGAGTTGGCTTTTGTTTAATTTTGGTGCGATCAGGGTGGCATAGGAAGGTGGCAAAAGGAGAGAATTGTACCCCGTTGTTTAGTTCGTACTACCAATGTATGTGTGGTTGGGTATTGTTTAACTTTTCTTTTTTCTTTCTTTGCAGATCCACGAAGGTTATGAAGCTTTTATGATCTATGTTGCAGCATTTCAGGAAGAGGAGAAAAAAAGTAAGTTTTTCATTTCTTATGTTAGTATACTAAGAGTCAGCCTAAGTTTTATTGTACCTTTTACTTTCTGCTTTCTTAGAGATAATAGCCAATCGTCATCCTTCAAAAACGCATTTTTTTAAAATCAATTCTCGTTTGTCTCTATAGATTCACTAGAACTCGCAAAGTAGCAGTTAACAAATAACTGAGGGGCTTGGAGGACAAGGCGCATAAGTGCAGTTTTTGCAATTTCGAGAAATATGTGCTTGAATTTTCGGAATGGACCAGTAGACAAGGCACGAATTTCAGCATTCTGATACACGTTTCATAACCATAATTTCACGTAGAACACGATGCGCACAACGAAAATTACCAAAATCAACTCCTTATGAAGATATTTAATGATTCTTGATGCGTGAATTCAAAACACCCGCTCATAAAAACTCAATGCTCTACGTGACTCACATCGCGCGCTAAACGTTATCATGACAGTCTTTTCGATATAAAAATCTGGCAACCTTAATCTTGGCTCTTTGGCTCAGCTATAGCAAGTTGTTTATAGTTTGAACAGCACATGGTGGGGAATGAATATCGCTTGATTGAGAAGCCTGCTGAAACCGTTGTAGTGCACGATTTGACTCACGTAGAGCTTTGAGTTTCTTGTGAGCGGGCAGTTGTAATTCCTCGTAACCAATGTGAAATAAAAACGTTAATATCTTTGTCAAGAGTTGATTTCGGTAATTTTCGTTGCACGAATCGTGTTCTACGTGAAATTCTAGTCAAGAAACATTTATTAGAATGCTTAAATTCGTACCTTGTCTAGTGGTCCATTACATGGATCCTAAGGCGGAAAAAAAGTTCAGACTGTCTTATTGATGCTTCAAAATTGGAATTTAGGACCGAATTTTTCACAGAGTATGCATTGAGACTAGTTTTACTTCAAATAAGTAATATCTCAATTTTATCAAAATCTGCACTCATGCGCCTTGTCTTCCAAGCCCCTCAATTGTACTCGAAGTTTTATACCCTATGTGAACTTTTGAATAGAGCCGAGCCGAACCGTCCAACGATATCCCGCTATCGATGCGTTACATTTTTGTATCAGTTTCTTTGAACTAGCGCACGCAAATAGGAACGACGTGTACTCCGATGCAGTATAAGCCTCGACAGCCGCTTCAAAGAGCCCTTCTCTCTCATCAGAGCGTCGCGTCGCACGGTGGATCGAGTCAATGAGAGAGGTCGGACGAAATTCGGGAACTTTAAAATCTTATTACTCCGAATAATCTAAACTTTCAGATTTTAAAAATGGTTCCATTGGTTTCCTCGTGAAATTTTCCGCACAAAGCACCCCTTAAAATTAAAATTATGACGAGATAAACGTAAAATTTTACAATTTTTGTGAAAAATTTCATGTCCGACTTCTGTCAAAGACTCGTTCCACTGTGCGTCGTTCGCGTCCAGCATCCCGCAGTCCTGACCCGATGACCAGCCCACCGGACCCAAGAAGAAAACCTGTTATGAAATCGTATTTCACGGCTAATTAAAGTTATTGTCAGCGCATAATGCACGAATACACCTTATTTATATTAACCGTAACGAGGTTCGATCGTCCGGGAACGNGGGGGGGGGGGGGGGTGTATTGATGCGCCTCCGATAGCCCCCCCTCCCCCCATCTCCTTTGGTAGTTCGATGACTTTGAATTTTGAAACAAACGCATCATCGATGAATAGGGCCGAAAGAAGGAGCAGTAGCTTTATTGGTAGGCTGATCGATATGACTGCCCGCATAAAATGAAATCAGATCCCCCCCCCCCCNTTGCCCCGCCTCGCTGAGACCGGGGGCCGCATGGCGCGTTGCGCTGGATGTATTCTTTGAGATTCGCCCTGTTGCCCTGCTTTACATCATATTATGAAGGGCTCCATAGAATCTCTTGATGGAAGTCGCGCGTGTGGAGAGGCCATCGAGGGTCAGGTCGAGTAGGGTGAAGCGAGGGGCCTAAAAGTCATGAAATCGAAAAGCTTCACTCTTTTTAGTCGGTCTTTACACAAGGAAAAGTGTCAGGGGTTATCCCCCAAAATTGTGGCACTACCCCAATTTGTTGGATGATGTGGGCATTTCCAATTAAGTGTTGTAGTACCGCTACATTTGGGCTAGTAGCCTTACTCGTTTGGGTACTAGCAAAATTGGGTCTTAACCACTACTTCTTTTTTCCGTGTAGTAGCCTAAATACGAGTGTAAGAGATCAGTAAAACCTTATTTTATTGGTACATGAGGTTTTAAATCTTAAGAACATTTTCGAAATTGGCGGAATCAGTACCAAAAAATGAGTGTATTCAGAGCCTTTGCAAGTGACAGCAAACATAGCAGTATAACAAGTCTGAAACGTGTTACCACACGTTCCAAATAATCCTAAAGCACTGTTCAGGGACATCTTGGCGGTCAGGTAGAGGGAGTAGTAAGGGTTGAGAGCCTCCCCCAAAATCAAAGGAAATCATCCGACCAATCCCGCATAACATAGCCTTGCAAAATAATCTATTCTGCTTAACTTTCTGAAGTTTCTTTATTGATTTCTCAGACTTGTTAGCACTGCCAAAAATTCCATGGCGTCAGGATTTTTCCAGGAAAAATCCAGTAGTCTATCCTAAAGTATTAGATTTTATAGGCAAAATCCGATTTTTCAGAACACTTGTGTTGATGGACAAGTACGTTTCAGTAGGTTTATACTATGACAGGCTATAGCTCAAGTGCTGAAAGAACGCCGATTTCAGAAAATTCTACATCTCCACCAATGGGACAACAGCGCAGCGCGCGACGGGAGCCGTGGCCGGTGGCTGCAGGTGCTGCGCCTTTTGCCTATCGCGTAGGCGGATTTCGAGACGTCTCTTAGAGGAGCCAGCGCCTCCGAGGTCTGTAATCCGCTCGGTCGAGCCCAGGACCCAGCTCAATAGCGCGTTGGCCGCGGCTCCTAATTCCGGCCGCCCAGTTTCCTTCTCTCCTGATGAAGACATCCGAACCTCATTCAGGTGTCGAGATCCATTCAGCTACTATTGATTCCACACTCGCCCGCCAATCAGTCCACGTCCACCGTCACCATTCTGCCAAGTTTCAAGCTTCTAGGAAGTATCGTCGGTTCTCTAACGTAAGGGCGTATCTCGACTCTCACGTGAGCCCTGGTTCACGTACATATCGATGCTTTCTAGAGCTCATGCGAAAATCGAGATACGCCCTTACGTCAGAGGAGCAACGCACTGGAAAAAAACTACATTGGATTTAGAGTCCAGACTCTTAAAAACATCGACAAGAAAAAATATGCTTGATTCAATCGGATTTAAACTTAAATCAAGAACCAAACCTCTTAATTTGAGCGGATGTCCTTTTTATTTAAGCTTAAATCTGATTGAATCAAGAGCTCTTTTTCTTGTCAATGTTTTCAAGAGTCTGGACTCTAGATCCAATGTGTTTTTTTTTCCAGTGCGATATCGTTGTCGCCGATACGGAACTCCATCCCGAGTAGTAAAATTTATTAAAACGATTTAACTCTTTACGTCAGAGGAGCAACGCACTGGAAAAAAAACCGGCGCTCCGCTTCGCTCCGCGCCGGTTTTTGGGGGGGCTTCGCCCCCCCTAGCCCCCCCGGGACTCGCGCTTCGCGCGCGTTTTTTAGTTTGAGTGTCCGGCCTCAGTTGTTCTGTGTTTTAAGTGACCCGCGCGTCCACCGCGGGAAGAGTGTATTTTCCGAAGGGGGGGGGGCGGGAGCTATCAATCTTTGAAGGTTGGATTTACGTTTACACTGTTGGAGGCATTGATTATTCGAATAAGGACTTCATGTCTCCAGATTGCAACAACAATCCTCATGTAATGCCTCATGTAATGTCAACAAACACTGTGGCAAGCTTGAATGACGATGGATGAATCTCCATAACCCACTGTGCGACAACATTGCCGTCTTGTTCACCAATTATCAGTTTGTAACTCAGTGTGCGGCAATATAGCCATCAGTTCATCAGTTCGTGACCCATTGTACGACAACATTGCCGTCTTATCCACCACTTCTCAGTTCGTGACCCACTGTGTGACAACATCGCGTCTTGTCCACCAATTTTCAGTTCGTGACCCACTGTGCGACAACATTGCCGTCTTGTCCACCAACTTTCAGTTCGTGACCCATTGTGCGACAACATTGCCGTCTTGTCCACCAATTTTCAGGTCGGGACCCACTGTGCGGCTTCCCTCCTTTTGCCGCACACCCCCCGCCTAAAACTTTCAAAGCTCGCCATTTTTAAACGGCTCGACCGATTTCGCTCCAATTCAATACCAGCCTAGAACTAAGTAAGATCTTCCTTCTGTAAAAATTTCGGGGGGAAAGCTTTTAATTTGCGCGAGTTATCGCGCCCACAAAATTGAGCCTCCCCCCACTTCTCGCCCCCACCATTCGAAATGTAATACTTCGATCTCCGTTTTTTTTTCGCAGAATGGTAGTCCTGTTCCTCTTCTTTACATCGCAAAAAGTTTCACTCGGAAATTTTTTAAAACGAGGGAAATATAACCAAGCAAAAATCGGAAAAACCACGATGAGTCGGAAATACATACATAAATAAACATAAATATATATAAAACATGAATTCAAACGGCATGCATATTCGTAATCTACGACCCATGATCGATGCTCATTACATGGTCTTTGGTCCAGGTCTGACATCAGGGGAGAACGCAATAGTGTATTTCCTTCGGAAAATACACTAAAACCACATTGGATTTAGAGTCCAGACTCTTAAAAACATCGACAAGAAAAAATATTCAACAAGGTTAACAAGGTTGCTGCCTGTATAATTTTTGTCGAAAATTTTTCTGATTCTTGCATGAGATCAGAGGAAAAATCGGTGGAATTTTCGGTTAGAAATTCCCAAGATCCTCCTGGAAAAAATGCAATTTCCCTTGTGATTTGGATCACATTTAACGAACAAATCTCACTCGGATTGTCTCGTAGATCACGATTTCATCCAAACCTGATTTTCATCCAA